TTGGTGTTATTTATTCTTTTTATTAGTACCATAATTTTCATAGTTTATCCATTGTTTATGTTCACTATTGTTTAAAAGCTTCTTTTGAGAAAAATTTATTATTAATTAATAAAAAGTCAATTTCTTACTTTTCACACTTAATTCCAGCTTCTTTAATCAAGTATGGTGTCACATTGTTATAAGCCCAAAATTTCCAGGTACAGGTAGAAGCCATGTGTCAATGCCCAGTGGATGTCAACCCCTTGCCCGTTGGCAGTTGGGCCACAGCTGCCTTAGTGCAGCTCCTGATGGCAGCACTGATGGTGATGGAGATCAGGTGGCATCCTGTGGGCATGGTGGCTGTCCTCCTGGTGACCCCAGTAGCTTCACCCTTGAGTACTGTATACCAGGAAAAATAAAGGAAGCAGTAACAGGTACTGAGATCCTGAATGAAGACTTGTCTGGCATCTGCCACCCGAGTCCTGGGGCAGGGATCCCTGGAGAGCTGAGGGTTTGGACATCTCTTTTCTCTTCCCTCTGGATCACTTGGGGAACATTCACAATGCAATGGAAAATGGCAGGCTGGAATATGTCCCCATGGTTCCCTAGTGACTCCCTGGGGACACCAAGCACAGGTCAGCAGTGAGGCAACCTCTGAGCTCACCTCAGAGAATTTGTGACAGAAACAACACTGAGGACCCATGGAAAGCCTTGACCAGTCTGGCCCCCACGTCAGGCTCTTAAGCCAACCCTGCATAGGACACCTGTCCTGCTATTCTGTGGTCCCTGAGGAGCAGAAGCCTCTGTGTCTTGGACACACCCACTGGTGCAGGAGCTGTTGAGTCTCAGAGCAGTGAAGCCTGAGGTCCCTAGAAAATAACTCCATGTGTCATGTGTCAGAGGGCCTGAGGTTACCTGAGGGGGAGGTCTCTGTCTTTGGGTAGAGGAGGGGACACTTTGGTTTGGTTTGGGGTTTCAGACAGGTTCTCATGTTATTCTACACTGGCCTTGAAGTTACTATTTCTAGAGTTCTCTACATGGGCTCACACCTAACCCCATTAAAAACACAGATATTTACACTATAATTCACCACAGTAGTAAATTTTCAGTTGTGAATTAACAACGAAGTTATTTCTGGGCCAGGGCAGCACAGTTGAGGAAGTATATCAAAGGTCACATCACTGGGAAGACTGAAAACCTCTGAACTGTGTGGTGGAGACTCGTGCCTCTACTTCCTGAGTGCTGGGACTTTACCTGATACATGCAGTTTGAGGGACCTAACCCAGCGTTTGTGTATAATAGGAAAGTGCCCTACCAACTGAACCATGGTCCTAACGACTTTACAGTCATTTCTGGAGGCAGGCCAGTGTCTTCAGGCAGGGGGATAGTCCAGGAGGCACCGCTTTGACACCTGGGGCCCCCAGACTTTCACAGCTAATGAAAACAACAGAAACACTGCAGCACTCAGGCACTGCCAAGACTGTTCTGGATGCTGAAGAAGCTCCTGGTGGGTGGTGGAAATTTCAAGAGTAGAGCTGAAGCTGTAGTCATGGCTGTGGAAGAAACTTCCAGAAAGAAGCTGTAGCCTTTTAGGAGCCACCACCCACCTGGAGCCTCATAGGAGGTAGTTGAAGCGGTTAATTATCCTGATCTGTGTCCTAATTCAAACTCACCACCATTTCCATTGGCCTAAACCAACTTTGAATCTGTGCATAAGGGAACCTGTTGTACAGCCTGTAGGAGGTCAGCCTATTGGAGTATAGGAGAGGCAGAAAAGCACAGAGGTGCTGTCGGGAAAACTGAAACTCTAGCCCAAGCTACATAGTACCCACTGCCACGGCTCCTTGCAGCCTTTCTGCTTCCTTTAGTGCAGTGTACCTGTGTACATGTTCACATACACATGAATGTTGGGAGTCAACTGATCTTCCCCTGACACCACAGAAATACACACAGAGATACACACATTGTTAAAATATAACAACAATAGATACATATTTTAAACCCAGGTGCATGCCTTTAATCCCCACATCTGTAAATGGAGACAGGAGAATCCTGGGGTTCAAGGCAGGCAGTCTGGCCAAATTGGTGTGGTCTAGTTTCAGTAAAACACCCTGAGTCACTGAGTGAAACACCCATTGTGGATCTCTGGCCTCTACACACACACACATGCACGCACACACTCACAATCAGCCAGAGAACAGGGACCATCAAATAAGGGGGCAGAAAGGAAGAGTCCCGTGAAGAACCGTGTGATGGAGGAAACAGGCTACTCAGACAGGATGGGCTGAGGCTATGACTCGGCATTGATTCTCTTAATTATCATGACTCTGCTTGAAGCAAGTCCTAGCACCCTCCCCTGCTTGCTCGCTCTCTCTCTCTCTCTCTCTCTCTCTCTCTCTCTCTCTCTCTCTCGTTTTGTTTTTGTTTTGCTTTTTGAGATTTAAACTGTAAAGTTCTGAAACAAGCTGAAAGAGGAAGGAAGACTGGATGGCAGGGAAATTTAATGTGGTCAGGGAGAGAAGGAGGGATAGTCAGGCAATGCCCTTCAATGACATTTGACCTTGAACTTTCTGAAGAAGCAATAAATTTGACTAGTATGTAAGTTGAGCTGGGCACAGAGACTGTTTTTGCACATAAAAAAAAACCAATACAACAAAACAAAAACCCCATGATTTCAAAAGCCTGGAAGAGATGTCCTGGTGGAGTCACCAGTGGTTCCCATCCTGGGGGGTGTGTGACTATGGCTAGGAGATGGTGTAGTGGGAGGTAGGTGGGGAGGTGGGAAAGCAACAGTCGATTTCCATGGTGATAGGCTTTATTCTTGGGCCAGAGAGAAGGCCTCCAGTCCACAAAGAAATTTGTCAATGATGAAGAGTCAGCCACAGAAGTTGCAAAATGTGGTCAAAATGCAGAAAAATCTCATCTTCCACACGCTTCACATAGAAAAAGGTTCCTATATCCCCTGCCCCCCAGCCTATATTCCATCATAGAACAGACTGAATGATACATGTATGATTTATTTAGGGTTTATTCCCAGCATGCTCTGAACACACTGCGTGAGGGTGGAGACTCTGTCCATGACACCCTCAATAGCCACGCGGTAATATCTTGCAATAACTGAAAAGCCGAAAGGTGGGAGTTTCTCTGCTGTGACCACATTTACACACACTGACTGTTCACCATTGTGGGTCCCTTGGCTTGATAATTATTTGGAAATGAGAGCCCTTCCAGCTGGGTCAAGGATGAAGACTGTTGTCATGGCAATACTGTGCTGCTGTGTATCCTACTTCAGTCTGGGGAACCAAATAAGATGACCATGTCATGATCAACAGGGCACCTGACAACATGAGGCTTTGTTCTATTCGAAGCTCTAATGGCAGGTGGGCTACTTAGCATTGTGGCAGTGACATTTCAAGACAAACTCCTGAGCCATCACTTCCCAGTGCCTGTCTCTGCTATCTTATTTTAAAGACAGATGATACAATGTGGACTCATGGTGACAGATGGGCACTAATAGAAGCATCATTTTCTCATGTGTGCATGTTTGTACATGAGTGTACAGGTGCTAGGGTATAAGCATGTGTATGTATATCAAGGTTCAGAGGGAAACGTGGGGTGTTGTTCCTCAGGACCTGTCTACTGTGCTTGTTGAAATATAGTGTCTCACTCATCAGGCTGACTGACCAGTGAGTCCTGGAATGCCACCCCTCTCTGTCTCCATGGTGTTGAGCTTACAACCATGTGTCACCGTGACTGTCCTTTCCATGGGTCTGGCCATTAAACTTAGGTTTAAGTTCATATGGCAAGTGCTTTACTTATTAAGCTATCTTCTCAGCCTCAAGAGACATTGTTTCTTGTTGGGCTTCTTTTGTTTTTATTCTTGTTTAGATCTGCAGAGTTCTCCACAGCAGGAATTGGGTGTTAAGTGTCCCTGCAGTGGGCACTTCCAAGTTGCTTCATCTGTCACCCTGTGCAGACCTTCAATGGACTTTGCATCAGGTAAAGACTGGGGAAAGGATCATGTCCTGCCTGATTCCCTCCTGCTTTTTATGAATACAGAGTTGGTGGAACAAAAGAAAGCCAGGGAGATTTTGGTGAAGAAATTTGCATTTGGACATTTGGAGGTGAGAAGCCACCAGGCAGCACTGTGTAAATGGGGACTGACCTTTGAAGACAGCATTAGGGAGAAGCCAGGCTAGTGAGTACAAGGGCTAAGTCCTCCCAGGCTCTGCATTGCCTTCCCGTGGTCTGTGCTGTCTACTTTCCCTGCATTCAGCAGCAAGCCCAGGCCATCAAAAAGACTCTGCCTGCCCACACTCATGTGGGGCTGGTACCTGAAACTCTGTGCTGTCTCCTGGAACTGGTGCCTATCAGAGGCAGTTCTCAGCTAGAGGTCACTCTATCCCTGTGGTCCTCAACCTTCCTAATGCAACAACCCTTAATACAGTTCCTCATGCTGTTGGCATCCCCAAACAGAAGATTATATTCTTTGCTACTTCATGACTAGAGTTTTAATGTTGTGAACCTTATAATGTAAACATCTATGTTTTTGGCCTTAGGTGACCCCTGGGAAAAGGTCTTTTGAACCCCAGGTTCAGAAGCACTGCTCTATCCTAGTAACA